GAAATGGAGGCTCGCCTGTCTATCAGGAGGGATGTGGACATAAAGTCTATTTAACCCGCCAGTAATGGTGTAGCACCATGGTGAAGTCTGGTCTTTGTTGTACAGTACATATCCTTGTGCTGTTTCACAGGTTGGATGTAGGCCTAATTATTGAAGCTGCTAGTAGAGTATTCTTTTTGAGAAATACTTTTTGGTTGAATGTTTTCTTTGTATTTCTTCCACCGGAGAACTTTTAGTATCTTTATATTTTTGCACCTTTCATTGTCTGACTTTTATTTTTTGCCCCCTTTTGACAGCACTCTTGGACTCACTGACAGGTGGTTTCTGTCACACTGCATTATGAAGTAATATCATTCGTGTTATGTCATTTGCCAAACCGCTTTATACCAAATGGTGTCGCAGATTATGAAGTAATGTTATACTTCAAAACAATTACAGCCAATTGAGTTATGGATTGACCACAACAATCACGTGTTGCAGCCAACTGTCCAAGCACGTTTCAATAATATTAACGTCCTCAACACCAACAATATACTTTTCCTTGGCTCATGTTTTGAGATTTACCACTGTTTATACCTGTTTTAATGTGTAAGTGCTTTGAGCCTAGGCTGGAGATCCTGACTACCTAAATATTAATTTAACACTAAAAGCAGGAGAGAAGCCAGCTGGGCCGTATTCACAGGCCAAATCGTTCAGATTAATGGCACTTCATGATTCTCCTCCACAATGTATGATCGGAGGTGTGAGAGCTTTTGTCTTGGGGGAGCCTGTGAGGTAGCCCTTAATTTTGACCTTTCATGAATCAACAGAAGGGCTTCAGGAAGACATAGAATAGATCATAGAATTTCTTCTATTCCAGTGTTTAGGGATGGGTAAACTTCCCAATTTCTCATTCATTATAAGTACTTATTAAATCAGATTTCCTAGTGCCCCTCTGGAGCCTGTCTGTTTTATATTTTTGTAGGTGAAAAACACCCACCCATGCTTGGGTTGTATTTTGGAAATAGGAAAGCAGCCAGAAGAATACATGAGTCAAGAAATGAGTCTCTCCGTCCTTAAATGATTGGTTTTGACATTTCAAATGCCAGCTGAGGTCAGTGTCAAAGTGAGACAGCAGTCTGGTTGTGAAAACAAAAACCACAAGCGAGAAAGTTCGTCACATGATTTTGTGAAACACCTGCCAGTTTCTCTTTTTTGAAAGGCTGCAGAAAGCCATTGAAAAGGCTACACAAACTCCTCCAACGCCCATGATAACTGTGAAGATGTCCTGTGAAGAGGAGTGTGAGGAGAAATTCTTACTTTTAGTCTTCAAATCAATACAATGAAAAGAATGAAGCATGTCAGAGGAAACACATCCGCTGAGCGTATGTGTTAGCTCTAGATTGCTTATCTTCTAAATCACCAAAACCTGTTGCAGGGAAAAGCAGAGCAGTATCAACTCTGAAATCAATCATGTAGCCGCCCAAGACCTGGAATAGGGTTGTGCAGCACCAGTTTTGAAGCAAATTAGAAACAAGCTCTGCTAGCTGTTGAATAACTGCTGTGTGCTGTGCAAAAGAAGAGGGGAGAGATGGCCTTTAGATAAATGACTTTGGTTTATTACAGTTAGACTCTCCATCTGTAGAAGACATACAGTTGTACAATGTTCCATCCATCCATTTCCAAACTGCTGTATCCAATACAGTGTGACAGGAAAGCTTAAGCCTACCCTATCGGGCAATGGGCATGAGGCAGGATACACCCTGGGCAATACGCCACTCCATTGCAGGGACAGGCGTGGACACACTCGCACCAGGGCCAGTTTGCCTTAAGCCAATTAACCTACCAACAAAGGAAAACCCATGTGAACATGGGGAGAACATACAAACTCCACACAGACAGCAGCCCAGGAACTGAACCCAGGGTCCCAGCCCTGGAAGGGAAAAAAGTTAACCACTGTGTCACTGTGGTGCCTGGCTATACAGCATTCCATAAATATAATTCGATATTATGGTGTAGCACAACTTTGGATGCGCTGAAGTAGAATTTCATTGCGATTGAGGCAAAGGCTAGTCACAGACTATGAAAAACTGGCTTCTTGTCATTTAGAGTGATAGCCACCTTTCCAAGAGACATTTAATATTACTAATGTATCAACTAGTTTGACAGAGTTAACATTATATCTTTATGCAAGTTCTCTCAAGATGAAGCTCAGGTAACAATTGCAAACATGCCTTGAGGAACAGGTGTAGCACTGCAAAATTATTTTAGTGGAATGATTAGGCACCGCTCCAGTAAAAGAATTAGGTGACCCCCGGTGAGGGACATGTAGCTCTACTGTATGCAGCTAATAAGCTGCAATATGTCCGAATCTCTGCTGCTAGACTGTAGTTCACACTAGATCCTGGCAGTATCACTCCTAGACTTATATTCTCTTTGTCGCCTGCCCATGAAGTCACATTCAATATAAGATCTTGATACTGACTTTTAAGGCTCTAAATTTGGCTACACCTTTCATCTCTGGACTCCTTCATGTTAACAATCCTTCCCATAGGCTCCTTTGAGTTGAGGCTGGTCCTTTCCACACTGTACCCGGGACTAAATCTTGGTCTTTTCCATCACTGCTCCATTGTTAGGGAATGTCCTTCCTCAGAGACAAATTCTCTCTTCTGATCTAGACTTAACACTTATCTTTTTACGAGAGCCTATGTCTCATTGCATTAGTTTACTCTGTATGTGCTCGTTACATTTACTTTTGTTATGTTTTTCTTTTTCCCCTGTATCACTATGCACACCATCCTTGGGTTTGGAAAGGCCCTTTTTAAATAAAAGCCTGTGGACATTCTGAGCACATACAGTATCTTCCATTGCTGCAGATCCTTTTAAGTGGTGGAAGACTCTTTCAATGTTTATTAACCACCAGCACTCCTCACCACTAGATGGCACTCTACATTTATAACTAGCACTACATTTTCTGAATAGATTTTTCCCCCACAAATCAGCATCTTAATAGTATGGTAACTGTTGACTTAGTTCCCAAAGCTGAACAAAGAAAATTATTTTTAACTATAGAAGGATGATGTAGACCACCCAAACCTTTGAGTGGGTGTGGAGGTTCATTTTACCCTAATGACCTCACTCTGTTAATTTGCTGCTCCCACCTTAAAGTCCTGCAGGTATTTAGGTGAGTGTCTCTGTCAATAGTTCTCCCTTGTGGACTGGAGAAGCCACATCTGACCTGGTGCAGAAAAGTCTGTCTTTTTCTGGTGTTTCAATGTGGTCTTCCAGGAGACAGTATTCTCAACCAACTCATTAATAGTTATGGGTCTCAGGAATATATCAGTTTCTTAGTGACAGCTTGATCTCACTTGAATTTCACCCACTGCATTATCAGTCTGGCACACTTTCACAGTGTCCTTTCCCACTGCTTTCATTACAGGCCATGTTTTGCATCGCTGTATATGTGAAGTCTGAGGACTTACCACACCTCAGAGACGGTCTCTTTCATTGTGCTGGGTCTCACAGCATCCATGTTGGAGTAACTGCAGTCCTCTTGGAAATCTTCTTGTAACATTTCTGGGTGGTTGTTGGCTGATTGTTTCTCTGTCTAGCTAAAATAAAATGTCTTAGCCAGGCATTTGGAGTTTTGTAGACAGTAAGTAGTCTGTTTCCAATCATCTCTTTATGCTGCCCTCCATATGTGCAAAGCTCTGACTGATTTAGTATGTACCATCTCTACCCTACCTACACATACACACTCTCAGGCTATCGAATAGCTTGAATTCAGCCTTTGCTGTCTCATCTTTTATTAACGACCACAGTACACCATAGCATTCCCAAGGAGACTTCTCTCATTTTTCCTATACAGAAGACAAGACTTCAGTATCTTACAGACCCTTCAATGGAACAACAGGAGCTGTGCTTGCCATGCCCTTTTATACCTTGAGAGGTCAACTAATCACGAACAGCTGAGCCTCATCTCACTGGAAACAAGTTAATTCCCCTTCTTCCTGTCTACCTGGAGCTGCAGTTTTCTCCTGGAAGCAGGGCAGAGGAAACTACAAACTTTAGTAGATAGAGGCTTCTCAAATCTCTTGGCCAGAAATATAGTGGATTCCCTCTACAATCCTGCCCAACATTCTGTCATAGGAGTTAGAGTATATTGCTGCTTTTCTGGAACAAGTAAAGGTTTATTCCACGCTGAAAAATGAAAAAAAGAAACAACCTCTGCCTGTGGAGCCTTCTTCAGCTGTGTTTCTTTTCTTCTCTTTTCAGCGTGGAATAAACCTTTACTTGCTCCTTTGCAGCCTATGCATGCTGACATAGCTCCCTACTTCAATCTTTTGCTTTTCTGTCAAGCTGTTCTAGCTATTGTGTGTGAGGACAAAATGCTACCATATCTTATTAAGTCGCTTATTGTAGACAATAGATTGTATGTTTTACTTTATTTATATTTTTTCTTTCTCATCCTACGTTCATGTCTCTTATTTGTAAAGGGGCTCATGTTGTGTAGTGTGTTATTTCTTTTACTTGCCTGCAAAGCACATTTCCCCTCTGGGACAGTGAACAGAAGTAAGTAGAGTCATCTGACGTGGATTCATCTGAGCTGGAATGGGATGGGTAACAGGTATTTCACAGGGGTGACCAACCTTGGGCCTGGAGAGCCACAAACCTGCAGGTCTTCTAGTTCACCCTTAAACACTGACTTGTAAGGAGTGAGTTTGATCAATTTAGTAAATTAATTGATCACATTGAGCTGGAAATTCCAGACAGCTGCCGGGCATCGACCCACTAGGCTTAGTTCCTTTCTTGGTCAGGTGCCATGACAGAGTCATAATGGCCGACACCTCTCCAAGCTTTCTTTAATTCATGTGCAATCCTGTGTACAGTAATAAAAATGTATTTTATGACAGATCTGGAACTGTCTTTAATAGCACTGCGTAAATGCTTTCGATATCTACAAGCACGAGTGTTCCTGGCTCTCGGGAAGCAAACGTGCACAGCTGGAATGTGGTTTAGTGACAATTCACTACAGAGCTGCCCTCTTCCTGGTTCAGAACAGTATGTTAAAGGCAGCCTGTCTCTCTCACCACATTTCACTCCCCTGGAACAAGTGGTTGATTTGCCTCTGCAAGAGGAAGGAGAAGCCCTGCACTGACAGAACCGAACAAGGTAACTGGAGAAAATGCCTGTTCTGTCTTAAAAGAACCTGAGCGAGGGCTCGGGTGGCGATCAGAGAGACACAGATACAGGGAACAGCTGTAGCTGGAGAGTCTAAAGGCTGGTTACAGTTCAGATCTTCTTTACAGATCAGTCGCTTTTAGTTTTCCGAAGCTGTTATGACAAGGAAGTGCCTTGCGATTATTTGGTGAAAGCATTTTTGTGCTTTATTCCACTTTGTTTCACCTTAGCTGCTTGTTAATTTTTGTATTTTGTTTTAATATGCAAAATGTATTTTCTACTCCAGTTTGACAGTCGAGGTTGCGGTTACCTATGTGCAAAACAGTGAGAATTAATCATGCATACTTTGCAATACCTGAATCTAGTGTAGTAATTGGATTTATGTTGAGCTTTTTTGATAAATTGATCTAGTTACAGCTTTATGTCTTGTAGCTTTATGCCTTATACCATCATACCTTGTCTTTATTTAGGGACATTAATGCATTCATAATAAAACCAAATTCATTTTCTGGATGAGTGCTTTTAACAAATCCTACATTGCTTGAACTTCCTTTAACTTGAGGTTCTTGGAGTTTCAATGCTGATTGGCAAACAGAGATTCAAGTCATTTAGCAACACAGGCCACTGTCTTCCATGCAAGAAAACATCACATGACTCCTCCCACTGTTCCCCAGTTTCTGTGTTTGTCAGGGGCCTGTGTTACAGCAAGTGAAGAGTGGGTTACGGGCTGTTGCAGGTGCTGTGGGGGAAGAAGTCGGTAACAGAGAGGAGAACTGCAATCAACCCCAACCTCCCCAAATTCAAATAGATGTGGTGTATGGAACAGTTTGACTTCCTATTTGTTGGTTATTGCTCAAGAACAGATTGTACAGCAGGTAAAAGAAGGAAGCACTATTGGCCGGAGGGTGACTGTAGACTGAACTGAAGTGTCGTGTACACATTTTTCCTTAATGAGTAACGTCACACGCTTCATTTTCGTGCTGAATGTTGTACCCTTTTGCACAAAATAATCTAATATAAAACACCCAAAGCCTCTTATTTATAATATCTCACATGGCAGTATTATCATTTTCCAAAGAGGAGAGACACCGTCCTTTCACTGGTTTTAAATCTATTTCCCTTGGGTTTTTTAGCATTTAATGTGAATTTTCACCCGGTTGTTCCTGTGAAAAGGAAGTGTTCTCCACTGCCTTTTTTGTGCTCTTTACCAGTGCTCACTGAAGCAGCATGTTGTGACTCAGAAACAGGGGGTGAGGCCTGTGTCATGTACTGCTCTTCAGTTCAAGCTTCAGGCACAGTCATGGCTCAGAGTCACAGGCCATGGGAGAAGCTATAAATGTAACTGAATGAATTGTTAACGAGGCCACAGCTATTAATTAACTGAACCCCAGAAACCTTTTCTAGGAGCAGTGATGAACAATTTAGCTCTATGAATAAATGACAGCAAAATAAATCTTCATATACATACACAGAATGGATGTTTAGGGATCTGGGGGAATAGCATTTAATACGACCTTCTCAAAACCTACAAGTTCTCAAAGGTCTTATTTTGCCACACAAAGTAAGTAGATCAAAGCAAAGAAGTTTTTAGAGCGAAAAAATGAACCCAAGAAAGAAACAAAATACACCAAAAAAACCTTTTCTAGAGTTTTTTCGGTGAGCTATTTTGCACTCTGGGTTGTGGTGTTGAAATTTCAGTTGCTGTATTTCAGTAAATTCCAGTTGTTTGTGGTATGCAAATATTTGCACTTTCCACCAAAACACCCTACCCTGTGAGATGACAATGGGGATAGGACACATAACAACGTGGGCCACAGGTCAGGATAAATAGAACACAAAATAATAATAATAATAATAATAATAATAATAATAATAATAATAATAATCAGAGAGCTCATAGATATCATCTCAGATGTAAGGGGATCTGAAAAGATAGGGTTAATTATTATTAGTCCATATAATTTACTCTCATAACAAGCTGTTGTCAGGGACTGACATCAAATACTGATTTGTTATTATTATTTCATAAGTGTAACTTCCTACCCCATTACATAATATTGTTTTTGTATTGTAGCCCAAGGTTCTTTTCAGAGGAGTCTCAAATATTTTTTACATTCACCACTTTAACGCCTAATCTCTCTGTACCTGCCTGTACCTGTTATTATTTCATAACTTCAAAACGCAGCTCAGGTTATACATGAAATTGAAACAGTCCCTTTGTCAGTATAAGATTTTTTTCTGGATAAAAAGAAAGGTCAGTAAAAGAGAATCTCATAAAAAAGATGTGTCTTCGTTACAGATGCAAACATTTGTGTGAGTCTTTTACTGGGGTGTTATGAAAAGTGGAATATTTGCATTCTAAAACTATTGAGCTGAATGTGTGATAATACAGACCACTTCTTCAGTTTTTAATGGATTTTTAGAGGAGCATCTTTCTCAAATTTCTGAATTCCATATGAAGTAAAATCAATTATTTTAACCAGTCCATTATTTTACATGTCAAAACTTCAGTGTGTACTAATATATTGTGTGTGGAGGATGCTTTCTTTGTCTTTACCTACATAAAATGTGAATAAAAATAGTTTATTACTCTCAGAAGTGGACAAAGAATGTAATAGTGCTTGATCCTTCATTGTATCTCAGACTAAAAGATTGTTCAGGAAAGATATTAATTATTTGTAGTTATTATAATAATTGATGTGTCCTGCAGCGTAACTCGTGTGGCCTGCTTTCGTCTTCCAGGCTGCTGAAGACACTATGGCTGTGTTGTGGCTGCTTCATCTTCTCGTCCTCAGCCCTTTGTCCCTGTGCACAAACCCAGGCATCACTGTGAGACTCACACAGAAGGGACTGGAATATGGTAGGTGTACAGCTCTACAACTTGCCCGCCAGCCGGGAAATGTCAAGCCCAGAACAGCGACACAAGCTCATGTATAATTTAGAACTGGCCATGAACTGAAGCCCATGTCTGAGTCAAATTGTTAGTAGCAATGGGCTGTCTGTCATCATTTTTTCAAAAATAAAATCACTCTCACTCTGGGGGAAATTAGACATGCCCCCCAGTCACTTTCTGCACTGTGATTTTAAGGAAAGTACAGTATATGTGAGTGTGGAGTATGCCTTTTACTTCCAAATTTATCTCCTTGGAACAGCCTTTTAATTAAATATCTCTGTTTGTTCTGAACATCTGAAACATCTGAGTATTGAATCTGAGTAGATTTCCCTCCACTTATATGCCTCTTTTCTGAACACTTCACTCAAAGCGCTCACCCCCTTCCATTACCACCACTGTGTAGCCCCCAACTGGATGATGCGCCAGTACGCTCCCCACACACCAGCTCTCAGTGGGGAGGAGGACAGAGTGAAGACGTTCTCTTTCCCCTTTACCTGCCATCAAAAATTAGTTTAAACGAAGGAAGAGACTTCTCAAGATGTCTTCATATGTTGATGAAATGTTATTTTTTTCTGACCAATAGGGATTCCATTAATATCTTTGGAAGATTTCATTGAACTCTCACAGAAAAAAGCGGTCAAAGAGTGGGATCTTTCCTGCTTTCCAGTATACATCATCGAACGGAATTTCAAATGAAACCAACTCAAATTATCTTTGGAATTTGTATAGATAGATAGATGTCACACTAATAAATGTTAAATTGCATTCCCTGGTGGATAAAATGTCGAAAAACTTAAAATTCTCTCACATTTACTCAAAAGGGGAGAATTATAGTGAAAAATATTCATGTTTTTCCTTGAATCCTTTATTCATTTTGAAAAATTAATAACCCATCACCAGTTTTCTGTGGAATTTGCTTTGTCACCTCTTTAAGATGGTTGTGGTCTCACACACCCTCAGTAATATCACAGAGCAGTTCAGAGCATTAACCCTCACACACAGATTCTCTAGATTCCAGAACCATCATAACATTTGAACTCTATAACTGTCATAAAACATATACACGTGTCTTCAGTCTCTTGAGACTTTTCCTCATGGGGGGAAACACATTATGCCAAAAAACGTATTTTTAGATTTTAGCTGAAACGCCTGGGTGATTCTGAGCTGCAGGAAGATATGCATGAATGGTATCTGGATGTTTCTGTTTATGTTCTCCCCAAAATAATAAGATAAGAGATAAGATGAAGAAGCAATAAAGTAACGCTTGGATATGCTGTATAGCAAGAATGTTGAATAAGTTTTAGAATGCATTGGTAAGATCTCATGTAGAATACTGTTTAATTTTGGTGACCATAACATTGAAAGAAAAGCATTGTCTAAGTAAATAGACAGAAGTAAACTTCAAATAAGAAAAATATAAATATATCGTTATTCCCAGTTTGGGGGAACTGTTATTTACAGATAGGTCAAAGGAAATAATTCTCTTCAGTCTAGAACAAACAATTTGAATATATGTTGTGATATCCCAAGGGGAGTGGGTATATCTGGAATCTTTCAATAAGTGAGCTCTTGGCTTAAATAACACTCTCCCAACGATAAGTCCTGTCAGGACTTGCCAGGGGATGCTCTCTTGGAAAGAGAAAATGCAAAAGAATCCTCACTAATATAATAACTGAGGAAAACGATAAAATCAATCTGTCCCACAAAGGCCCACAATCTCTCTTCAAAAGGAAAGCACCTCAAAAAATCCTTTTCAGAACAAAAATGGAGAAAAAACAGTTACTTGCGTCCATCCTGTTTAAGCACAACTTCGGCTTCTTTCCCTTCCTATTTTATACCCTTATATGACCTTTCCACTCAATCCATTACATCATCACTTAGAATTCTAAATGTAGTGTAAATGTAGTGTTTTAACTTGGCTCAATTAGTTCAATTAATGAATTAATTGACACCCGATGAGTCTATTTACAAATAATGAAGTCCTTTTGACAGCCTCTTGTGGAAGGCCGATATTACGACAGCCCTTCCGAAGAGCACGTACTGTACGGTACTCTATATATCCAATATTCTCCAAACTGTCTCCACACTAAACACCTGTTCTCTCCTCAGGCCGTCAGATTGGAATAGCAGTCCTGCAGCAGAAATTGAAATCTGTTCATATTCCTGACATATCAGGGAAGGAGTCAGTGTCACCAGTTGGCAGTGTAGAGTACAGTCTGTCAGGGTGAGTGTCAGGCTCTGATTTCAATTCCGGGAGACAGAAAAGCTGACTACGCTTTCAGTCAGTGTCTTATATTAATTAATTCCAAAGCGTGAGGGAACATTTCTGTGTGTAAGTTTCTTGAAATGCACCTACTATATTTTTTTTTGTCAAGTGCTACGTTTTGCCGGATGTTCAAGTTGAAAGGAAACCCTTTGGTCCTGATATTTGAAGTAGTGGAAAAGTGACCATCTATAAGAAATGACGTCCCCAAACCCAATCCAACACAATCATCCAGAAGTCTAAAGTTGTTAGAGTTTATTCTAAAGTAATACTCAATGTGGGAAAAGTGAAGTTTACTTGGCCCAGAGAAGTATTGCTTGCTTTTACCTCACAGTTGATTTTCTTGTACTTCCAGGATGCAAGTAGTGAGTCTTGGCCTACCTCAGTCATCGCTTGTGTTGGCACCAGGCAGTGGGCTCAGCCTGTCCATTGGCAATGCCTACATCAGCATCGATGGGAACTGGAGAGTGAAATACTTAAAGTTCATGTAGGTTTAACATTCCAGGTCTGGGATTAATCTTTTAAATAAACAACATGTTGCATAATTTGGTTTCCATAACTACGAGCACAATCTAATTACAGTTTTACAAGAGACAACACTGTCTTAGCACTACTCTTTCCTCCTTTTTGTAGTACTTTTAAAATCAAAGTTGGACTTTAAAACTTTTGCTGCAGTGATTATATCAGTGATTATCCCTTCTTTAAGTTGCAATTCACAGTTAAGGGAATTTAATAGCGTCTGTTAAAAGCACTCAATCCAGGAAAAAAAACAAGCAACATCAGTCAAATACGTGGTATCCTCATTTCTTGATTCCATTAAATCTTTGATTTCTGACAAAATGAAATAAATCAACACAGGATTCCTCCTTTGTTTATCCGTTTGAACTTCAGTGTGCAACAGAAATCATAGCCCTCAGATGACAGTTCATCCTGAATTATCTTGAACCTTCAGTGACCGGAACTTAAATTAACAATTCTAATGACAGGTATCATTACATGTCAAATTCCAGTTCCTTTGGCACAAATTGCCTGCTGGTTAAAATAATGAAAGGTCAAAAGACAAGGGAGATGTGTCTTTGCGATCCGCAATGAAACCTACATGCTCTGTAGTGCACCATCACATATGGTCAGTTTGAAAAAAGTATTTGATTGACGTGTTAGAGATGAAGGGAAATGTGACCCCTGTGTTTTCTGGAATGAGATTAATTACAAATGACAAGAGTTGCTTTGTTCTGTAAATGCTATTATGATTACATGATTAGATCTGGAAGATTTGTCTTAAAAATAATCAAATAATGGGTATAATGATATATTCTTACACCAAGTCCCAAAATACCAGATGACCAGAAGTTGCATGGGACAAGTCACTTAAGAAGATCATCTACAAATATAATAATTCATAGCACTTCTAAAGTAGTCTGCATAATGTGCCACTATACTCTGAATCAGGGGTAAAATAATTGATTTAATAATGATATAATAATGCATACTAAAGAGCAGAGTAGGATAAAGAACTACTATAGTCTAGTCAGCTGCAGTATTAAGTTTTTATCTGAATTATTGATAGAGTGATTATATACTGTTTATATCAATAACATTTGTTTTCTCCATGGAATATTTGTATTTGTTTCATAAAATATTGAGAATTATTATTGTAGAAGTGCTCCACCACAGATATGAGTAAATATTTCACCAAATACACTAAATTAATTCCACCACTGATATGAGTGAAAACTCCCCCAAATACACTAAATTAACACACAAGCAGAACTGTTTCAGGCCCACTTTTGATATTGGACACGAGTGTCTCTGAGAGCAGCGTGATGCTCCAAGGGACATGTCTCAGGTGTTTGCTCTCTGGCCACACAGAAAGGACCACGGCTCCTTCGACCTGTCGGTGAGCGAGCTGACAATCTCCGCCGTCATGGCAGTAGGCAGCGATGAGACTGGCCGGCCCACAGTGAGCTGCACCAGCTGCTCTGCCAGTGTAGGGAGTGCCAAAATCAAGTTTCACGGAGGAGCCAGGTAATTCCCTCAGGGGCCTGTCCGTTCAAGGGGCTTCATTTGGCACAACTGAAGAATTTCAGGCTTGCCAAAGCGCATACAATTAACACAACGTTTAGAGACAGACTAGCTCAGTCCATTCAATTGGAGAAATCCCAGGCTTGAAAGTTGTCTTTTCCATCATTTTAACCATTTCTTTTCTTGGTCTTTATCTGTTTCATTGCTTTTACATACTACAAGTCAATAACTTACGTTGTTGTGGCAAAACTCATTCTCAGGACATGTTAATTAGACTGTTGTTGCTACAGAGGTAGTTTAACTAGTCCTCACCCTCCAAGCTGGTCTTGGGGTGATTACAGCCCAGTAAACTGCCACGATGCTAATCTACAAGTTGACCAACCATTGTCTCTTATGCCAGAGAGAAACTGCATTGGTACTCGAAGGTTACAACACATAGGCATGCTGGGGTAAATGCTGTAAATACAACTGGCTAAGTCTTCTGACAGAGGAAGAAGGATAAGGATAATATCAGACCAACTCATAAGACTGTAACGTGACGTACGAGCGAATAAGTACAGGTTGTGCAGCAGATATTTCAGCACATAAATGTTCCAATGTGATCTGCATGTAGGGTTAACAAGTAAGTAGTTTTTGTCGGCAAAACCATCTCTAAATCTAAATCAATATTTCTATTGGATTAAAAGAAATGTGTTCACAAGCTTGTTTGTTTACAGTGTAATAGGGCTGCACACATTTCTGGACGTTTTATTGCCTCATTCTGAATCGCACAACATGGCGCTGCACATACCTGGAAATGTAATCTATTTTGTGAAGTAAATTGGAGGTTTTACAAGTTACTGTGTACAACTTTCATTGCCATTTGAAGTGCACTCATCAATGCTGATTCTTCTAACCCCGAAATATGAAAATAGCATTGCAGGTCCCCCTTAAGACCAACTAACCAGTGAATGTGAAGCAGATTATAAATGACTAGCGATACAACAACAGCAAAACATCTTAAGATTTCAGCACAATCTGTTTAACAACATTAACAACATCTTCTACTTTGTCTTTAAAGCTGGCTCTACAACCTTTTCAGTTCGTTTATCGACAAAGCCCTGCGAAATGCTCTTCAGGATAAAGTGAGTATTGCAACAGACACGAAACCATTAGATATGCATTTCCATCCAGCACTACGAGCTGTCACAGGTGTGATGGAGCACTCAGGGCAATCAATAAGACTGCATATAGTCGGTAGCTTTGAACTAGGGCAGCATGAGAGGTTTGGATCAAGCAGATGTGTAAAGATGTTAACGAACAGTCAGTGAGAGAGCTTTCCTCTGTGTAGTCCCTATGACATTCACTAACCTCCAGCTTCATGGTGTCATTTCAGCTCTGTCCCTTGGTTACTGATGCCATAGCTGGGATTAATCCTCACCTGAAAACTCTGAATGGTAGGCAGGCATTGAAGATCACCTCACACATACTCTCCTGGAACAATGCCTCAGTGCATTGTTATAAGAGAACTTTACTCTTATAAAAGTTTTTGCTTGAATTTAATAAGAAAGCATTCATATCCCACTCCTTTTCAAAACTGTGTATTTTTCTGGCCAGTGTGGAATATAAAGCTAGACTGATACAATAAATATTCACAATCATTAATGTCCCACAGACGTAAATGTTTGCTGTCTCATATACAGTTATATGGTGTAATTAGTGGGTTTACTGTCCATACATCTTCCAGTGTTGGCCAAGGTGGATCAGTATGCCGAGATTGAATACTCCATGGTCTCATCCCCTGTTATAACGAAAGACTATATTGATCTGAACTTAAAGGTAAGCAAGACAGATGTTAAAGCTGTATACATACTACATACTTAATGTACCATATTAATATCAACCTTGTGGCTATCTAAACCTTTTTGATAAGTATTTTTAAGCCAACAAGAATATGTGATGCTTAAATTACGTATAATACACATTAACAATATAAAAGATATAAATAGTTGGTGCAGTGTTGTGCCACCTGAGACCCTCACTATCTCAAAAATACAATCTGACAGCCAAGCTTTTACAACCCGCCTTTGCATGGACCCTCTTCAATTGGAAGGAAACTGACCCAACATAGTTTGTTCAAGGGATCAGAAATGTGATGCAGTTTCTTAAGCTGAAGAAATTTAGATACACACTTAGAGGGTCCAACATAACATCTTTTAAAGCTTGGCAACCATTACCAAACTCTTCTGAGACTTTGAAACTCTCTTCTACACCCTAGACCTTAATCTATAGCTAATTGGCTACTCAGGTGATACACTTTTTTAAAAATATATTGATTTGTGTGAAAGCAAGTGTAATAAAAGTTTATGGTTGCCCTAAAATGAATGCAGCATCATCTCTTCAGCCAACATGGTGAAGTCTTCAGAGACAAATATTTCAAAGGGATATATAACTCTGTAGTTGGAAAGCTAAAATTAACACGAGCTCTCCTTTTCGGCCTCCCTCTGCAGGGTGAGTTCTATAATATTGGGAAACACCAGGAGCCTCCTTTTCCTGCTCCGGGCTTCTCCCTGCCCGCCCAGGCCAACAGCATGCTGTACTTTGGAGTGTCCCAGTTCACGCCCAACAGCGCTGGCTTCGTCTACAGCACGACGGGTGTGCTCAGCATCAACGTCACGGACGACATGGTCTGTCTCCCGCCTTCGCAAACATTGAAACAGCACAAACCTCAGCTAACCGTAGTCCCTACCTCACTGGGTAAAAGCACAGTAACGTGTGACAAAGAACAGTACATCCCTCCATTTTTTTTAACGGCTTCATCCCACACAGGGTCACAGGGGTGCTGGAGCCTATCCCAGCAACCAACAGGCACAAGGCAGGATACACCCTGGACAGGACGACAGTCCATCTCAGGGCAGACACACACTCACACCAGGGTTGGTTTTCCCAGAAGACAATTAACCTACCAGTATGTCTTTGGACTGTGGGAGGAAACTGGAGCACCTGGAGGAAACCCATGTGAATGCAGAGAGACCATACAAACTCCACACAGATAGTACCCCAGTCCAGAATTGAATTGAGGGTCTCTGAGAGGCAGCAGTGCTAACCACTGTGCCAGCATATGGCCCAAGATCCATACAAATAATAGGAAAAATAATCAAAACACGTATGGAGTATATTAAACAAAGTTGCTTTGGTATGAAAATTAAATGTTCAGGAGAAATACCCTAAACTACTCTGGGAAATTTTGCAGGGTAATGACGGCTGTCAGGATGAGGCCACCAAAGATATCGCATTCTTTTGTCATGCTTCTGTTTGGTCCTGTGATCTAGCTGTTGTTCAAAAGTCTGTTCCACAATGGTTACCAACTTCAATCGATCATCCCAACAGATCCTGAAGTAACTTGATTTGCTCAACCGGAACAAATTCCATTTGCTTTAGGACATGATTTAACTGATGATTCATATAAAATATTATTCTGACAGGAGTGATCAATCCCTATAATGTGCCACTCTACTCTGCATCAGGGGTGGAGTTTGCAGCAAAGCTAAAGAGTACATTTTCCTCTTCAGATACGACCTACATTTTCCATAAACATTTGTGAACACCACACCTGCATGTTATAGGAAACATTGTACCTACAGTGCCTAAAAATCTTCCCCCGCTTTCTGTATATTAGCTCACTCTCCAGCTGTAAGCAACAACACCAGTGTTGATTTTCCATACCACACATCATGCAATCTGATTGCTAACACCAGGCATAGGAACTGCTCAGAGTGGTAGAGTGGGTGAAACAAAGCATTCAGCCTTTCAATAATTTCAACAAATACATTTCAACATTGAACTAGGTGAAATCTGAAAGAATATGTCCACGTTTTATTTATATCACACACTTCAGGCCTCTGAATCAACACACAAAGATGCCCCCTTCGCATAAAACAAGTAGACTATTCTAATTTCCGACTGACACTCACAGATAGATTACAGCTGCAAACTCTATCGATCTAGGAGAAAACAGGCAAATGGCCAGTGGATTCAATCAAATTTGTCTGCATTTCCAATGAAATTGGTTTGGCACCCGAGCCCACTTTCGCTATTTATCTGCCACATGCTCTCTGAGACACTACCACGCTTGGAAATCTTCATAGTTGTTTGCCATTTTCTAGAACTGATTGAATTTGAGTTTGTGAATATGGTCGTAAATGTGCAGTAAGTTGAGTTAAATTATTTCCTCTAGCGTCTGTAGCCTTTATAAAACATTAGTAAGCAGCAAATTAAAAAGGAATTACAACACCCAAGTATTAGATGTATACTGAGCGCTCAGGGATAGTGAGATTTGTCCTGCTCAGCTAGGGGCCATGTCCAGAGTCCATTCAGACTGAGAAGTCAACTAAGGGGTATCTCTAAAGGTGGAGATGGGGTGCAGGAGAGAAATGCGAGATGAAATGTAAAAGGAGGATTTTCTGTACTATATATATGTAGCTTTCAAAGAAATAAGGTGAGGAAGGGGTGAAAGTGACTGGGTTGTCGTCAATCCTCACAAACATCAGTACAGAACTCTGCACTTAGCACTTAAGTCAATGTTTAATTTTAAATAATTAGTTAAACGGGTTTTGATAAAAAACATAGGTATGTGTGTGAAGGAACAGAAAAGGGGTCAGTAAGGAAGTGCATATAAGTGAGTTTTACAAGTGAGTTTGTTCGAGGATACTGAATTTGTGTAGATGACTTGCATATTTGTCGTTTTTTTGTTTAATATTTATATGTTCCACCATTGTTGCACCTATTCTTAACTCACTTCACTGTTTTCATTAAAAACACTTAAACCTTTAAATTTTTCCATACTTTACATTATTGTAAACATCTATTATTTCTTAGAAAATAGGACTCGAAAGAAAACGAACTAACTTTGTTTTATTCACAGATTCCAAAATCCTCACCCCTGAGACTGAACACCAAAACCTTTGGAGCCTTCATTCCCGAGGTTGTGCAGTTTCTCTTTTATCTACCAACAGTTCACAGCACTTCAATACAGTTTTTAATTTTCGTGTACAGTGGATGGTTGGTGTCAAGATAATTAAAGGGACTTTAATGTCTACAAAAAATGAAATCATCTTAAATACAGATGCACGGTAGTGAAACAGAAACCTCTAATACATTGATAATACTGCATGATCAGCTTTGCTTTAACGTTCTTACAATATGTTATTTTATCAGCTACACATTAACAGCTGTTGTTGCTCTTTTTCTAAATACAGGTCTGTAAAGTGCAATTTTTTTTTACAGGCATTGGCTAAAAGCTTATGGATCTACCAATCCACCACAGAATGTTTCTATTCAGTTTCTTTAAGCACTGGGATCTGTAACTCCCTCTGACTTTCAGATTGCCAAGCGCTACCCTGGCCTACAGATGGAGCTGCTGGTAAAGTCCACCAAGCAGCCATTTGTCACCTTCCAGACCAACAACATGACACTGCAGGCCGTCGGCAGCATCGCCGCATACGCCATCCAGCCCAACTCCACTCTCACGCCTCTCTTCATCCTCAGTGTGGTGAGTCCATTTTCACAGCTGTCACTCTTGACTTATACAGGCACTGAGCTCAAAGACCTGATTCACCAAACCTTTCATTGACAACCCACTGAACCTAAGCAGGTGTGAGCCTGGTCAATACTTGGATGGGAGACCTCCTGGGAAAAACTAAGGCTGCTGCTGGAAGAAGTGTTAGTGGGGCCAGCAGGGGGCGCTCACCCTGCAGTCAGTGTGGGTCCTAATGCCCTAGTGTAGTGACGGGGACACTATACTGTAACAGGCGCCGTCCTTCGGATGAGACGTAAAACTGAGGTCCTGACTCTCTGTGGTCAGGGTTAAGAATCCCAGGGCATTTCTTGAAAAGAGTAGGGGTGTAACCCAGGCGTCCTGGCCAAATTTCCCATTGGCCCTTACCAATCATGGCCTCCTAATAATCCCCACTCTGCTCTCCTCCCCACTGATAGCTGGTGTGTGGTGAGCGTTCTGGCGCACTATGGCTGCTGTTGCATCATCCAGGTGGGGGCTGCACATGTGTGGTGGTGGAGGGGATCCCCATTACCTGTAAAGCGCTTTGAGCGGAGTGTCCAGAAAAGTGCTATATAAGTCTAAGCAATTATATAATTATAATACTTATTATAATTATATATCAGCTTGTCCTTTGCCTGATGTAGGCTCTAAAGGAAATTTCGTAGTGGGGTGACTTGTAAACTAGTTCAAGCTCTGTATCCGAGTGGGTCTGGTATTTCATCTGGGAACTAATGCTGGTCTTGCTTTCAGGATGCCAGTGTGAGTGGAAACGTCTATGTTTCTGGGGTAAAAGTGGCCGGTTCGCTGTCTCTTAACAGGTAAGCAGCCTTGCTTTTGCTTCGTATAAGCATACAAATATCATATAAAATAAATAATAGGCTTCAGAGAAAACAGAAAGACTGATTAGATATCAGGGTGGCATGGTGCCTGTGTGGTTAGCATGACCTTGGGTGCTGTCTGTGTGGAGTTTATATGTTCTCTCCATGTGCACATGGATTTGCTCAGGTTGCTCTGGTTTCCTCCCACATACAAAGACATACTGGTAGGTTAACTGCCTTCTGGGAAAATCGGCCCTTGTGCGAGTGTGCGAATCTGTGTGTGTCTGCCCGGTGATGGACAGATGTGCTGCTCAGGGTGTCTACTGCCTTGTGCCTGTTGCTTGCTGGGATAGATTCCAGATCCCCAGTGACCCTGAATTAAATAAAGAGAAATTATTAGACATCACATTGATGTGAAAGACAATGAATTATAACAAACTACCATCATTTCCTGCAGTTTTAAGCTGTCCTTGGTCACAAGCTACGTGGGTCCATTTCAGGTAAGACACTTATTTACATGTTCTGGTCAAAGTAAGACAGTGGATCACTATAGAAATGGTGTAAAATACATGTTGTATCTGTAAGGCTGCAGGAGTCAGAACAGCATTTCCCGTTGGCATTTATTTTAAAAGGCATTTTTTACAAAATAAATATAAAAGGAGTTGGCAATGCACAGCACTCATGCCAGGTATGGCACATAAACTGATTCGGAGTGGCACCCACATTGCAGTCGAAGAAACTAAGCTGGAAAAAAATATATAGAAACTACGCTTGACTTGTCAATGTCTAAACTATGCTACCCAAAGAATGCTCTTTGGTATGGAGAGACTGGTAGATTTATTACATTACTTTCAGTGAGAGAAGCATCTGGGAGAAAACATGGTGAAAAGGAGAAAGGAAAAGGAAAGTGCAGGGGTAAATATTTTGGACAAGGAATTTTGCAAGTCCCTAGCAAAGCAAAATTAGATGTTTGCTCCTTTCAGCCATCTTGGAAAGAATAAAACACTTTTGTTCAACATCAAGACAGTGCTGGTGGTGCTCCGTGTTGTGAGAGAGTTGTCAAACGCATGTTCAACAGCATTTTGAGACAAAGCTTGAAAAATCTATTCAAGGACGAAGTGGACAAAGCTGAGTCAGGGAAACGGGCCATAGTGAAGTATTTAAAGGAAGTCAGGAACTTTACTTGTGCTTCTACTTTTTGATCATGTCGTGTCAGCAAATGTCAGGCCATAGAGGGAAGCTACAAAATTGCACAACGTGTTGCAAATCGTGGAAAGCCATTCATAGATAGGGAGTATATAAAAGAGGTGTTGGTCGATCTTCTCCATGAAGAAAGACTTAAAGAACCTGCGTTTGCCAGATCAGAGGAGAGGCATATAAGCAAAACAACAGAAAACAAGCAAACAGCAGACATACGTTACAAGATGTAATAGTATTTAGTGTTTCACTTGATGAGTGTGTGGATCATAATGACCAGATACTGGGACTCAAAGTTGGAGAAGAGATATACTGCCTAAAACCCAAGCACTGCACAACAACAGGGGAAAATCTACAGTAATTGAGACATTCATTTCCTCATTTTAAGGAAAAAAAGAATTGATATTGGGAAAACTGACAATCAATTGTTCCTTGCTACGGTTGTAAAATGTATCAAGATTACTGATGATCAAATTGGCCACCCAACAGTAAATTTCCATTGCAGTAATCACCAAGAGAATCTTTGTCCCCAGATTCTTAACACTGAGCTTAATGCGATGACCTCAGTGGTGAAGATGGTGAACTTTGTCATTGATGGATCTTAATGCACAGGCAGTTTCAAGCTCTGCTTGAAGAGATTCCGAATGAGGACAGTGAACACAGTATGAGCACATTCCACTTCACAGCTACGTTTGCTGGCTCACTCGTGGAAAGGTGTTGGCATGCTCTGTGCACAGATTTGATGCACTTAAGATCTTCTTGTCAGAAAAAGGTCAAAACTACCCAGGACTGGATGATGACAAGTTGGTTGCCCAACTAATGATTCTAACTAACACTGCATCATAAACAAAACTTCCATCTGCAGGGTGCAGGCCCAACCTATTTTGAAACACTGAAGGCATTTTTTGGAAAACCTGTCATTTGTTTTTGGAACACTGACACTCAATGTTCCATTTTTTTCCAGCATCTTAAAGATTTCTCAAAAGATGACACCATCCGTGTTCAGAGATTGAAAGCCACATTTGAAACCCGTGACATGGAACTGACAGGGTTTTGGCAGATGGGTGTTGAGGATTTTGCAGTACAGGCTCATCGACTTATGATGCTCAGACTTATGCGTCTCAATGTAGAAATCTGCAGTGCATGTTTGGGGCCACTGGTCTCTTTAGTGACCTGCTGGACCCAACCCGACTTCGGTTAATTACTGACCAGACCCGGGTTTGTCCTAAATTCACTTTTTGCAGAGAAACAAACAACTGTTTTTAACATCTCGGCAATAACTGAGAGGCGGGCATAACCTCATCAGAAATAAGTGCGTGAATGCAGAATCTGTTACAATATAATGTTAAAGTGACCTGTGAAGAAATCCTCTGCATTATTCTGCGAAACCCGACAGCTATGTACCGGAGGCTATTTGCTAATTTAATGTTTACAGACTCCAGTGCCAAAGACAGAGGTCTGTCTATACTGCACTTGGATCAGGGGTCTGCAGATGGCTGTACAGAGGGAGAAATCAGAACCCCCCACTGCAAAGCCCAGGGCGGCTGCCAGGCAGTGGGGAAGAGAGGGCCGACATCAGTGGAATGTGATCGGGGTTCACGAGTGCAGTTTTCCTGCAGTTCTCAAGGCACCCGATTGACAGCAGGAAAACACAGCAGGACTGACCTCTTCTCCACTTGACCGGTTTAATTAAGACGTTGCGATCCGAGAAGGAGAATCAAATAAATTCTGCCGAGTCAATAACCAGGGTCTCTAGGTTTTTATTTGCATCCTCGTGAGCCAGTGACTCTTGGTAAAATTGGATTTGGTCTTTCTACTGAACTCTCAGGTACAGAATTTCTATGAAGTGAATATAGGTTGAACTGTAGAAAGAAATGATCAAAAAGGAATATAAGAATAAGACAGAAAATATTATACATTATGATATAACTTTTGTATAGACTTTATACATCTTGTTCCATTTCAGTGCTGTTTTATTGCTTTCTGTATTTAGTTGCTGTGAATCCTTAAGTTTTGGTGATATAATTTTGGGGAGAGGGGGGTACATATTGTATAGAATTCGATTGACTTGCCAAGACAATGTCTTTGACGAGTTGTTGTTTTTTTTTTACAGTTTAAAGTCACACGATATTTGGAACAGTCACACTGTGTACTCTTTATCAGTGATTGTTGCACTCGGAGGTGTTCTTAATGGATTATTTTGCTATGCTGAACTGATCATGTCCATTCAATCATTTCTCAGGTCCAATCTCTCAGTAACATTTTTCAGCTGGTTTTGAAAGTGGCTGTTTTGCCCAAAGTGAACGGTAAGAGCACTAGGTCTGCTGTTCTCCTTTCTCTTGTTCTGTAACCAAAATTGAAATTAAATATCCAATTCTGTATTGTGCTTCATTGAATGTTTCTTGCCAGCTGCTTCTATTCTATTTTCCTAAACATACAAAATAATGAGGACAAAGGTACTTCAGATTAAAAATTTAATTTCATTCAGGTGGAATAAGAATTTTCCCCATTTTATTTTGATTTGCAAAAGACTAAGTATATTAGTCAATTTTTATTAATTTTTGGTGGTATTTTCACATTCTTTTATTAGGTGAATCATATTAAAAAAAATCTTACTTTGAATGTCATGAAACTAATCTTATTGAAGTGCAGCTAATTTTTAATTAAATCTACTTAGATTGTTCTCCCTAGGACAGTCTGGTGCATTTGATTGAGCACTGACAAGATATTGATCTGTTGTTTCCAACCTGACACCATACTAGCATTGTCTTTCGCCAATCAGGTCCAAAATTAAACTTTGTCTCCACAGAGCTTCTGCAACAAGGCTTTCCTCTTCCAACCATTGAGAAGATGAATCTTGTGAACACTCAGCTACAAATCCAAAAGGTAAAATCCCTTTTTTGGATCTCAGTCTGTATAAATAGGTTTAAGTATATTGCACTATGTGCTCTTTTGCATATTAAAGTTGCTAGTGGTGTCTTGTTCTTCAATTAATTACTTTTTCTTTGCTTATCTTTTAATCTCATGCTGATGTTGCACATTTCTGATAACTAATTCTTGAAGCCTAGTTCTTCAATTTATTTTTCTATGCTTTTTTTATTCTCATGGTGATGTAGCTCATTTCTGAGTAGGCGTAAGGTATTTGATAACTGATTACTGAACATCCACACCTAAATCCATTCTTGTTCTTCACCTCCAGTTGCCACTGTCAGAGACATTTACTGGAATGACAGTCATGTGACAGACACTCTGATTATGACCTTGTAATACTCTTTCATGCAACAGTTGCTATAAAAGAAGGACTGTAGGGGGGGGGAATATTTTCTGGAAATGTGAAAAATTGAGAAGCGGTGAAACCTGCACTAACTTGTAAGAATGTAGCCACTCTTCTGCAGCTCATTTTAAAGGGCTTCACAAATTAAAGAAGAGCTAATACCCAGGGTCAGTCACATGCATAAACCATAAATGATCATGTAAATGACCTAGAATCACCATCAATGGTTCCAGGAGGGCACTTTTTTGTTTCTGTCAGCCAATGTTTCTCATGTACACAACAGCTCCTTAGAGGACCTGCCACAGAACGATCAATTGAGATATCAGCTGTTTGAGGAAGTTTTTTTGTAGGGGGTCACTGCTCATTTTGACTGGACAGCTTAGAAAACGGCAGAACATGCCAGTTCACCATACACCTCCTGACTGGAGCAGAGGCAGACTAGATTATTCACGAATTCACTTTGTCAAAGCCAGCTGTCTAAAGAGCCTAAGGGTTGTGAGCCTGACAGATCCCTCAGTGTCTGTATTTCCTGCTTTCTCCTCCAGGACTACCTGCTGATTGGCACAGACGTCCAGTTCTCCCCCTGAGTACAACGGCGTTATACCTCTGATCCGCTACCTGCTGCCAGCCCTCCTCGCGCACGGCCTTGCTGAAAGATTAATAATTTTTTACTGATTAAAAAAAATAATGAGAACTCATATGACTTCCTGTTACTGCAAGTATCAGAACTGAGAGGTGACAAATCTGGTGGTTGATTGTATAACTAATCAAATAATGCATAGTGATGAGCCAAAGTGCTTACTTGTCTGGGGAATGGGCTCACTAACAATTACAGATTCATCTAAGGGTTTCTAAATAAAAAAAAAAAACTTTTTTACAACCAGAATGTCTGATTTGTTTGTGTAATGCCACATCAACACAGGCTGTAGTCCAAGGTGACCGGAGCATCTGGAACTTTCCTTTGGAACAGTTGGTCTTCAAAGAGCTGGTGGCCTAGCAGTGTCATACTCGTCAGGTGCGCTGGGACAGACTGACCACTTCCTCCATCCATTTTCTAACTTTATCCAATGCACACATGCCAGTCCCACAAGGCAGGGTACACCCTGGATAGGGCACCAGTTCATCGCAGGGAACTCGTGGACACAAACACACACACTCATACCGGGGCCAGTGATCTCAGAGGCCTATTAACCTACCAGTATGAGTTTGGACCTCAGCACTGCAATACTAACCACTGCGCCACTCTAAATCATTACATCTGTGACACAAATGGGCCCCCCCCAAGTCAACAAAACAGCGGCCTGACCTGAGTATTCAAAACCCTTTTCAAATATTTTTACAGCTGAGCCAATTTAATCCAACCTTGACACAGTTTTCACAGTTAAGGTCAAGCCAATCCAAAGCTCTTTCAACAACTCTCTTTTTTCAGTGCTTTCTACTGCTACATCTTTTAGAGGCAGGTGAACGACTTCCTTATTTTCTTTACTTTTGTAACACCTGAACACTTGCCATCTGGTTTGTTGCTATGGTTGCTAAATGAACAAGGGTTTTCAAGGCTACAAATCACTTAAGAAGCAAAGATCGGAGAGAGAAGAGCCTTTAATGCAGCAAGAATGTGAGAATCAAGCATTTATAGCATTTAAGGCTAGGAGTGCCTTCATTTTAGCCAGCGAAGGAAGCAAGTATAGGATCCTCTAAATCAGTATTTTAAAAGCTGATTGTATAAGTATAGAGCACCAAACTATGTAATCAGGTTCACGAGATCAAACCAAATGAAAAGTAATTTTACTACCAGAATTAGTAGACCCTGATATTATACATGAAAAGAAATGTAAAGTGCTTAAAAGCTTTGTTCTGGAGAGTGTAAACCTTCTAGTTATACAAATCTGCATACCAGATGTAACAGCTCATAAGACTATGGAGCATTACCTGGGTTTAACATGAGCATGCCTCACAGAATATTTTGTATAGCATCATTCAAAAACTTGAAGACACCTTTTAGCACATAGAATCCTGGAGAAACTCCACCAAATCATGACCCAATGTGTTTAATTGATTTACTCTGAGTATACTGTATATCCCCCCAAAAATAACATCAAGATTTGACATTTGCAGGACTAACTGCACTACTGAGTGTAGTGAGTGTCAAGATGGATACCCATTTTTTCACACCTGATGTGAACGTACCATTCGTTGCTGAACTCATCAGTAAGCCAGGTCTGGCAGCCCAGGGTCTCTTACCTCCTTTTAAGGTGATCTCTAACTGTGACTGGTGAAGAGCTCCGTGGAAGATTCAGGACTGCGCCTGTGAGCAACATGCTCCTGATTGGATTTGGGTTTTGGGACCACTTCTGCAAAAAAGGAAGCAAGCTTTATTTCAGTTTGTAAGGCAGAACCAGTAACAATAGGCAATACTGTTTAAAGAACATTTGTTTAAACATTTGAGGAAAAAAACAAAATGAGGACAGGAGGCACTTACCTGCACAAAAAGCTTTCTGGGAATACAGAGCAAGTTGCCCAACCATGTTACTGAATCCGAGACCTTGCTCAAGATGTGACCATGGGTTTAATTAGCTACTATATACTAGGTGGACAATATAGGACAGAGGTTCTCCTTTCGTTTGTAATCATTCTCATGTTCTTTAGATTGCATAATGTGCTTTTCTGGCTTCACACCTTGTCCATGAAAACACCCGTTTGGTAAAGGGTGAGCTTCAGGATTTGTATTAAAATAATTCAGCCAAAAACAATGTAATCTGAAGATTGCACAACCTGACAAAGTGACTAATTTACTATGAAAAACATGTTTTAAAATATTCAGTTATAAAAAAACTAGCAATCAAAAACCAACCAGTATAATGGGTCACTGGGACCAGGATTGGGAAACTACTGAGCTAAGGTGTCAAGAGTAGTTGAAAAAGGAGCTTAATCCATTAGAAAAGCAAGACTATGAAGACCAAGCAGAATCAGCAAATTAGTTTGGTCCACTGAATGCCAGTAGGGAAAACATACAAGATACAATAGCGATTAAGCACTCACCTGATTTTTAGAGGTCTATCATCAAACATAGGTGTGATTGAGGTTACATTACAAGCAGGGGATTGAGACCGATTTAATCGGCCAGAAACCAAATAACAGCTATTTCACCCTCTTTGCAACCCAATCAAAAATCCGTAGGTATGCTTCCACCTTCCATCTTCGAAAACTGGCTGGGCATGAAACAGAAGGTTGTTGCAAATCCCAACTGTCCAGAACAAGAGACTTTGGATTGTTTTCCCCAATGCTGAATCTAACTGCATCCACCACCAAATGGGCCACACTCGTCCACTCAGTGCATGGGAGATGTCCTGTTATATACACCCCACCTAAACACAAGAATTCCAAAACCAGACTGATGTGGAAAAAATGGATGTCTCCAGTACTTTTAGTTGGAGTACAAAGACAGGCTAAAACAGTAAAAGAACAGCCTTGCTCCCTTCAGAGAAAGCTAAAGGAAGAATTCCCATCTAGGATAAAAGAGTCTAGTTTCAGGAAAAAAAAAAACTTGTTAAAGTCATTGTCTTTCCCAGTGAGGAAACTACAGGTTAAGCTCCCAAAAAACATAATTATGACCTCACCACTTCAGCTTTCACAGTCCCTCCCCCCACCACCCACTTCTTCTGTTGTTATGCACAAGTCTGTCCTTAGCCTCTGCGTGGTGGACTTTTATAATGGTGCTCATTGGTCCACCTGGAACTCATTTCCTCTTCTGATAGCTGAGGATTCTGGATCTTGTAGTTTCCCCACCGTTCTCATCACCATTTTTTCTTAGCGGTCTGCTAGGAATATACCTGCTCTATTGGTTCCCCTCACTGTGTCACAATAAATCAAGCGCATGTATACTGATTAAACACTAAAAAATCACTATAAAGTTGGGGTTTTTTTGCAACAGTAAAGTTTAGAATGAAGCTCCTCAGGGAAAACCTAAAATGATCTTTAACAATAATCTAAAACGAGTACTTCAGTCAGTGTACTCCTTGCAAGTGCTCAAATTCTTACCAACAGTTTTTTGTTTTAAGTCTATTTGATGAAAAATAGTTAAGAATTATGTGTATTGTATGATTTATAGTGTAGTGTTATGTACCAGTTGGGACAAATGTTCACTATACAGTTTGATCTCAGTGGATCACCGTGTTGTCAGACTATATATCAGACTTAGTATCAATTTGAACTGCATCTGTTTAAATGTATTTGTGTTAAAAATTCTTTAAACAATTGTTTTTAGTGATTATGTAGTAGCACTCTCCTTACCACACACTGATGAAATCACAGTGGGGTTGATCATTGCAGCACGTGTGTTAATTTCTATCTAGTTAATAGTGTTTCAATTAACACAAAGAGGCTTTTGTTTTCATCTCTATTGGGAATTAAAGAAAGTAAGTTATATCAGAAATAATAATCAACACATTTTAAGGACTCAGTGTTCTCTTATTATTTGGATGAACTGCTATCATTAATGTTTAGATAGATCATTAACATAGATTTACCAAACAACCTTGCATTTCAGTGGAAACGGCCTGTAAATCCTTAAGAATTAACACAAAACTGAAAATTTGTGAATTAAAAGCACAAAGTTGCATTTTTGGAACATTAATATAATGATATTTGCAATGCACTAAACCTATTATTGCAGTAGATGAAGTAATATCCTTCAAACATGCAAAGGAAGAATAAAAATGTGAATCTGATGGAATGTAGTGCTCTCTTTTGCATTCTTCCAAAAGCTCATTACTTTATTTCATCCCGACTTTCGTATTCAACATAGATCCCAACTACAATTAGAAAATAATTAATAAGACTTTGCATATTAATACTGACACTTAAGACTTTAGATAAAACAGCAATTTTATTCACATTTAAATAAAACTGTTTATTTGACAAATAATAAGAAAGATGGGACAGAAAATAAGCTGTGTGGGAAAGTCCCTGCTCCTGGTCGGCACACAGCTGTGCGAGAGACTCCCTGCTCCTGGTCGGCACACAGCTGTGCGAGAGACTCCCTGCTCCTGGTCGGCAC